GTCAACTCTGTGGCTGGGCTCTGTGGCTGGGCCTTGTCCTCCTCTTGGCCGCGCCCCTGAACTCTGTCATCTCTGTGGCTGGGCTCTCCAACTGGCCTCCTCTTGGCCGCGGCCCTGAACTCTGTCAACTCGGTGGCTGGGCTGTGTGGCTGGGTGTGTCCAGGCCTCTCCTCCTCTTGCCCTCCTCGGCTGGGCTCTGTCCAGGACTTGTCCTCCTCTTGTTCTCTTCTTGGCCGCGCCCCTGAACTCTGTCAACTTTGTGGCTGGGCTGTGTGGCTGGGCTCAGTGTCCAGGCCTTGTCGTCCTCTTGTCCTCGTTGTCCTCCTCTTTGCCGCGCCCCTGAACTCTGTCAACTCTGTGTCCTCCTCTTGCCCTCCTCTTGGCCGCGCCCCTGAACTCTGTCAACTCTGTGGCTGGGCTCTGTGGCGCACGCTCTGACATACGCTCCAGAAAGGCGCGCTCAGAGCGCGCTTTGCAGAGAGAAAGACAGAGAAAGAGAAGCTTAAAGAGAAAGAGAGAGAGAGAGACAGCAGGGAGAGCGCGCGCGCTCGTGTGCTATGGACGGTGCGCTCACGCTCCAGAAAGGCGCGCTTACAGCGTTCTGCAGAGAGAAAGATAGAGAAACAGAAACTTAAAGAGAGAGAGAGAGGAGAGACAGAAAGAAAGAAAGAAAGAAAGGAAAGGAAGAAAAGAAAAGGAAAGGAAAGGAAAGGGAAGGGAAAGGAAAGGAAAGGAAACGAAAGGAAAGGAAAAAAGGAAGAAAGAAAGAAAGAAAAGAAAAGACAAGAAAAGACAAAAAAAGAAAAGACAAGAAAAGAAAAGAAAAGCAAGGAAGGAAGGAAGGAAGGAAGGAAAGAAAGAACGAAAGAAAGAAAGAAAAACATAAATAAATAAAGAAAGACAGAGAGAGAGAGAGAAAGAGGAGAGCGAGAGAGAGAGAGAGGTAGAGAGAGAAAGAAAGAAAGAAAGAAAGAAAGAAAGAGAGCAGGGCGAGCGCGCGCTCGTGTGCTATGGACGGCTTACTGCGCTCTTGCCCTCCTCTTGTCCTCTGTGCTGGGCTCTGTGGCTGGGCCTTGTCCTCCTCTTGTCCTTGTCTTGGCCACGACCCTGAACTCTGTGGCTGGTCTCTGTGGCCCGGCTTACTGGAGAGGAGTGTGGCCGAACAAATAGGGATGTCAATGCCGACAAAAATTCATTGATGAAGCAGTTTGCTCTTGGGGTGAAAGTAGGGCGAACCAAGAAATCGATTTTTGACTAATATTGGTCTAAACAAATCGGTTTGAAACTGTTTGGGGTCTATGCTTGTATAATTTTCTTCGAATCTGTTGGAGCTCAGAAGTGGTGAATTTCAGGCGGAAGAATCTTCAGAACATCCAATTTCTGCCCGCTGGAGGCAACGGAATCCGGGTGACCGGATGGAGAATGTGAAGTCCTCGCCCTCAGCTCAACACGGGTTTTGATTTTTCCTTCGGGGTCGCGCTGAGAAGATTTCTTATTCGACACAAGCGCATTAGTCACTGATTAGTCACGTCTTAGCTTCTTTCCACACCGACCAATAGCTGATCATGCTTATCAGCTATATATGACAAAATCTCAGCATTGTTAATGAGCAGTGTTTTTATCATCCAATCTCCTAACGCATCAGGAAAAAGAAGAAAACACATCCAACGGACCTTAATAAGACCATCCTGGTCGATTCTGGATGATTCTGGCATCCTCCCACCTGATCCTCCGGTTTCTCCGGATCCTGGAATCAGCTGCCGGTGGGACGGAAGGTGCGAGCTTCGGGTTGGGGGACTGGGTGCGTGAACCTGTGCGGGAACTCTGAACCCAGTCTCAAAGGGGCCAAAGAATATATGCCATATTTCCGGCAGGTGCCGCAAGTAAGACGCTTCAACCTGGATCATACACCCCAAATTCGGATGGTCCTGGTCGGTGTCGTTTTTTAGAGGGCGAACATCACCCGCCTAGCCCGACCGATTCAGAGCCTGAATCTCAAATCGCACATTCTCTACCAAAAATCTGTGGTTGCTCTGACTGAAAATTCCAGTCTTTCCAATATTCCAGGTGTACGTCTCCAGGTCTTGGCTTACTTGATCAACACCGGCATCTGGAAAAGTCGGCGTCCGAACATGCTCACCTGCATCCCACCCTGAACATCTGGAGGTCTTCCCCGAAACGAACCGCAGGGCCACTGCCAGTGCCATCTCCCTGCCTGAAAATCTGACTTTGATGAACTCTGTTCTGCGAAAAAAAACACACACAATTACTGGCGGGGGTCCAATGCGAAGCCGGACTCAATCTCTGATGAATCCGGCGCTCAATGGGAGTTGAGCCGGGAAAAAAAGTGGTGTTGATTGCTCCACATTGACAAAGTCTGATATCTGACCTACCCAAAAAAGGTGATTTAGAATATTTAGAGAATGAAATACACTCATATAGATAGAAGTTCGTCGATCCCCACTCAAAATGTATTGGAAACGGTGTATTTCTATCTATTTGGGGGATCACTATACACACCAAAGGTTCTGGAGGAACGCTCCAAGGGGCCCAAGCCGATGGTTTGCCTCTCTGGAACCTATGTCTTGGTTGAGACTCGCTTTGAAAGTGGATGATTTCATTATAGCCTTCATAATCCACTTTCACATGAAATCATCCAGCACTGAATCAAAGTGGATAATTAGTACTGAATTTGATCATCAATCTTCATTCTCTACTCACAGGGTGTAGCAAATCCCACAGGGTGTAGCTCCGACCTCTCATCCCATCGGATGCGTCAGTTTCCGACCTAAGCTTTTGACCGGGAACCCTCACCGACCTGATCGGGAGACCGAGACGAGGACTGTGATGTGCGAGGTGAAGAGATCCATCGAGGCGGGGACAGCGGTCGAGTAAAATCCAACCATCATACCCACACACTCCATGTCTGGTGGTATATGCCTGAAATCAACCACCTCAATGTAAATATGCCAGTCCCAGACAGGTCGTGTCTGGGATATGTTTTTCCATAAGGGAAAAACACTCAGGTTTGAGGCAGGTCCTTCTTCTTCCACAGTTCCATCTGAGGGTGTCTATTTTTAGCATGTTTCGTCGCCCAAAAGACTCGGCGCGACTCGGTTTTCAGGCCGCCTCGGTGAAGACGGCATCGAGCACCAAGTTCGCCTGAGGCAAGGAGGCCCCAAGGCGAGGCGAGGCGGAGCTCCGACCGAGCAAAACCCAGGACGGGGGATGGGTGGGTTGCCAAAAACATCCCAACATTGGGCTATAATTAGATGGACCACATCGTCCAAGCAAGTAGTGATAGTCACAGTTCATCTTGATTCATCACACTTCAGACACTCACACACTCGTAGACACCTCCAATGGTCTCCATTCATCGAGAACTCCCCTTTCGAGGTCGACCAGTTGGTGGTCGACCTAATCGTCCACGGAGTCCCCGAGCTTGGTGTAGCTCATCTGGGCCAAGTGTGCCGCCGAAGGTGTCGCGGACTCGCTGTAGCTCTATTTGAGTGATAGACACTATAGGCCATAGCGTGTGAGTTCCAACCTGTGGCTTTAATCAGTTTACTGGTACTCTACTGCATGTGACATGTGTTTCTTTGCCAGCCTATCTTCTGTCTCAACATAGCCTCAGCCGTACACGACTTCGTAGGTGGCTGGGAGAGGCGGGAGACATGGTTCGCGAGGCTGGGAGAGGCGGGAAGTTGGTTCTGCCTCATAGCCAAGCAGTTCCTGCAATTCCCTTTCCAACACCAGGCCCGCTTTCTAGAGCCTACCACCAAAGCCAATGCAGAGTGTTCTTGAGGGGCATCTAGCAAAACAAGGTCAATGCTTGTGGCACGAAGAGTTTTTGCATGGCTTCTTGCATGGTCTGGCATCCAGTCGGTTCTTGCTATATATAATATCTTGCCATCCTTGAACTTGGCAAGGCGAGGCATGCGTGTGTGAGTTTGTGGGAGCAAAGGATTCACACGCCAAGCAACATGATCGAAGATGGCCCCCGTTTGCCAAATGTTCCCCTCCAAAGGTGTCAATTATGGAAACAGACTGGAGAGAAACTGAGAACATGGAAAGAGGCACGCGAAATCAAAAAAAAATGCCTGGGAATCAATACAGTTGAGACTTTGGAGCCAACTCTGAACCCAGCTGCGTGCCCATTCAGTCAAGACAGTTCCTCTTTGTCTTGTTGTGTGTTGTGCATTTTCCGAAAACACCACCACTTAGCTCCCGATTGAATCGTCCATCGTTCATCACCTGTCAAACCTCTTCATTGGACTTATGAGACTGAATTTCTTTAAGCAAACATTGTTTCTACTAGTAAACATTGTTCCTACCAGTAAGGCACTTGTTACTAGTAGCGATGCACTTGTTCCTAGTAGTGTTTTTTGTTTACTTTGTGAGTCTTCTCCAACAAAAGAGTGCAAATGTGAGACGCCGCCACCACACAAGAACATTCTAGATAACACATTTTGTTACACCACCGTCAGAGCTCGAGGGTTCAAATCCCAAAGAATGAATTTAAAGAAAGCAAGTCCTTTGTTTGAACTACCACTGAGAAGGTAGACCTCTTTTTAGAGAAGTGAAGACCAAAAAGAGGTATCGAGTTTGGCCTTTGAAGCACTTGGAAAGTGAGAAGTCCTTCTGAAGGGTGGGAAGCCTAGATCATTTACTTGGGTTTCTATTGAATTTCGGGAGTCTAGACCATCCCCCAACCAATCGGTTCGAACTGATCTGTATTCCAAACACACACGAACCGCGCGTTTGCGCTTGTCGCGGCTCTTTCGGCCTGGTCCGCGGCGAAGGCCCACAACTCGGGTGGGCACTCCGGAGGGGCCTCCGGCTGCGAGCAGGGCGACACCTGCGGCGAAGGAAGCGAGTTGGAGTTGGAGTTCATTAAGGGAACTCTCGAATCTTCCAATGATGATGGCCATCGGGCATGGGTGATATGGATGCCAATGTGGAAAATGAGATGCCCCAGCGGCAAACAGAGTCTTCGGCTACCGCAAGAGCAGAAAACTCTCGAATCGTCCAAGATCTTCCAAGATTCTTGGACTTGGATTAAATGGTTCGACAGGGGAATAGTCAAAGATCTTCCAAGACCAAAAAAAGGACTGTGATTCAAACGGTGCAACAGCCACATACACATGAGATAGGAGTGGTAGATGTGCAAAATATTTAGGGAGTCCTAATTCCCAGCCAACTATTTACAACTCATTATAACTCCTAACTCTGTTCAAAATGTTCAGGGAGTCCTGATTCTTAACTCACTATATATAACTCACTTTACTAGTGAATAGTGACTAGTGGACTTGCTTCCAATTCCATTTGTTCGCTGCAACGGCACATATAGAAAACACTGTACGGCGAGATCGGGTGAAACGTGGTTGTTTCCAACAAACTGCCATCTCCCAGAAAGTCTTCGTCCAATTCCATCACGATAAAACTCGTAGCTAGTGATGGAACACTGAAAAGTGTCAGTGTCCAATTCCAAAGTCTAGCAGAAGATTTGTGGAAACACTGAGACTTTGTGATCTGCCAACTGCTTTATCCGAACGGAGCGACGGAGCCGTCGCTGCTTCCTGCGGTGGTGGCGGCGACCGCAGAATTCCCCTGAATTCCGATCGGTCGATAGACCTCACAAAGCGGGTGATCCTGATAGACCTCGAATCACTTCTGGGGTCCTAAAGGTGTGAAGAACCTGAAAGTCCGGCCCCTCTGGCGTCCGGCCTCGCCACTCGGCACCTCTGGCGGCTCTGGAACTGCCTGAGGCCACGGCAGTGACACCATCGTGTGCTCAAACGCAGGTCCGTTCACCCAGAAGATGGTGAGTTGGAGGGGTGGCACTTTACTATGCGCAAGGGGCATGCGAAACAGCAGGCCATTCCCAGACACTCCACATATCGTGATAAATATGCCTATACATTGACCACTGAAATCAACCACCCTAATGTATGGTAAATACGCCAATCCCGTGGAGTGTCTGAAACGTTTTCAACGTTGGTGAAGCTCGCTCTGCAACATGTTGATCATCCCTCATGGTCATGTAAGACGCAATCGACCACGGGTCTGGTTGAGAGCCAGCGGCCCAGTGGTTCCAAAGCTGATTACCCATGTCGGAACCACCGGTCCTGGTTTCAAGCCTTTGCCAAGTCCAAACGAAAGAGTGTGGTAAACTGACAGAAACCTCCCAAGTTGGAGTGGTTTGTTTATTAGACTATTAAAGGACCTATCCAGCGCATGTTCTGGGCACCCCTATCAACAACCACCCCTTTGGAACTCCCGGTAAGTGGTCTTGGCAGCACCAAACACCAGACCAAGGGCGCCAACGAGGTCGTTGCAGTGCAAAAACGGAATCAGGGAATGAGAAACGCAGATTAAAAGATCAAACACGATTGATGGGCGATCTACAGTACCTCCACGTTTACAAACTATGACTAGAAAAACGAACATATACTATAAACATATGGATCAACTTGCACACCGAAGATCGACTTCTCTCAGCTGGATGGACTCAAACCGAACTGATTCCGACGCGATTCAGAAATATCCTCTGCCTCCTGGGCTGCAACAGCGTCTGCCTCACTCAGGCCCGACCGGCTGTGCAGGAGGTTGACAGCCGAGGGCCGAGAGTGTGAGTTTTGACAAGGGTCGCGACAAACATGTAAACTGAACTCCATCCGTTGCCCAGGGGCATCACTGTAGGGGAACTGGCTTAAAAAGCACGAAGTCTGTAATTTTCTGTAACTTGTAACATGATCGAGTCTTGCATACACAGGTCAGCAGAAGGATGGAAGACTGAATCGATGCAAGCTTCTCCATGAGAACAAGGGACATGTTTACCAGAAGAGTCTCTTGGCGCAGGCAAGGTGTGCGAGCGCGAGACCATCCCTGGTGTGCCAGCAACGAATCCAACGGGAGCACGGAATGGCCATGGATCAATAGATTCTTGTCGTAGTCGTCCCCCCCAAAAAAGATAAACATATTCTCAAAAAGCTCACATAAGGTTTGTCTATTCAATTCGAGGGTTCCCTCCCTTCAAAGGTTGGAAACCTTACGAACCCAACCTTTGAGGTGTTCACTCACACCGACCGCACGCGTCCACGCGTCGCGCATCACATCGCTGCGCATTTGGATCGATTCCAACGCAAGTTCACACCCGAGGTTGAAGAACTATGTGTATATATACCCTGCCAGCCGGGACCCTAACTTTTCCTCGGGTATGCGGACAAACCCCGGGCATTCTTGCAAAATGGGAAAAACCTCGTGTTTCCCGGGAAAACCCCGGGTATTCTCTCAATCTGCCTGCTGAGGTAAAGTTGATTGAATTCCTTTGCATGCTGAACAATCCGGGCGGCTATCCAAATTTTTTTTTCGTTCCATTTCGTTCCATTGATATGGTTTGTTGACACTTGCTTGAATTTTATCGGGACAAGTTCAGGTGTGAGGTAGAACCCGTGATTTCCCCGTGCTGAACCCGTGATTTACCCGTGCTAACCCGTGATTTCCTTGAAAAACACCATCTTTATTGAAAAACCCAATCTTTTCAAACCCGTGATTTACCCGTGCTAAACCCATGATTTACCCATGCAAACCCGTGAAAAAAATCACGGGTTTGAGGTCAGATGCCAAACGACTTTTGGGTGCAAAAAAACGCAAATCTTCTGATGTGACACCCGTAGTCTCGATACTCAAACAAGACATTGCCGCATCAGTATGCACGTGCTCAAATGCAAAGAACGATGAAAAACGCAAACCCCGGGTTTCCAGTGAAAACCCCGGGTATTTTGGAGAACCCTAGGTTTTCTTCGGGTGTTGGCTGTAAAGGTATATATATATATTAATATAGTATAGAGAGAGAGGCTAATTATCCCATAGGGTCTATTAGGGCCCGAAGAGGTACCCCAGGTGACGGTCGCTTACTTAACTGTTGACACCGTCCATCGTCCCGACAGCGCTTTCCAACCAAGCGGACCCTTCGCTGCCTTCGCTAGGCTGCTGTCCGGCTTCGCGAAGATCTCGGCGAAGAAAAAAGAAGGGTGCGACGTTGGGGTGTCCACCCAGACCAGACCGGGACTGGAAGAGTTTTCTTGACTATTTCTCCGTTTTACCCCATTTTCAAGTGACCCCAACGAATGGAGGTAACCATTCCAGATGGTCTGGGACCCGTGGTTGACCCCGGGTCACCCGTTTTCTCTGTTTCTCCCGTGCAGATCGCGTCAGGGCGAGCCGTCCGTTCAGAACGGACGGACAAAATGGCATCGGCCCGTCTCGAAAGAAGCCATGTACACCCTGGAAGATTAACGAACCTGAGAACCACTGAGTTGTAAAGGATAGTCTTCCAAAGGTCCATTTTCATGTGGCTCTCTTCCCGGGTGTATGGAATATCTGCCAACATATATAACTCAGGATGAATGATGATTGAAAGATGCTTTAAAGGTCCCAATGGACAGCCAAATGGCGGTCCAAGTGGAGAAACTCACGTGGAGGAGTTTTCCGATAGGATGCAGAATCTGATGGTTCAGAGCAAGTCCCGGATAAGTTGCGGTGTGAAGTGTTTTGTTCTGCTCTCTTCAACTGTCCTCCAATGCTCCTTGTGGAACAAAGGTCAGGTTGCACCGCTTGGAGCACTATCTGAAGGGCGTTGCAAGGATGTTAGCTCGTGCCGTCAAACATTGTCCGTTAAAAGCCAAAAGGTCTTCAGAAAAGGGCTGCTCTCCTCAACGAAGTGGACATGAAGCCTTCATCTGCTCTCTTAGACCTCCAAAGCAAACGTGACCTTCATGGCCACTGCCTCCAAAGCCATTTCCACCAACAAGTTGCGCCGCTGATCCAATCTCGAGAGGGAGAATGAGGTTTCCACTAGGAGCTTCATTGCTACATGGAACATCATGCAGTTCTGGTTGGTGGTGAAATTTTGACTTGAAAAATGGTTGGTCAGTTCTGTGAGTTCAATCATCCCAAATCGAAAGCCGAAACCATCCACCGAGTCCAGACTGGTGCTTTGAGACGTCCGCTCTCCGATGCCGAAGGCCCCAGTTTTTCGGTTTTCCCAGCGACGGATGGTGCACTGGCACTGGGCGTGTCCTGAGAAGGAGAGGAAGTGGGAGAGGAACCTGGGATCTGTATTGTTCTTTCCGTTCCTTCTTGGCTTCTTTTGGTACTCCTCACTCACTCACTAAGCTGGAAGTGGAGTTCAACTTCTGTGATAGTGAGTCAGAGTGTATGTTGTTTTTGTCTTTTGTGTGTCTTTGTCTTTTGCACTTGGGACCTTTTCCCTTGTTCATGAAACCGTCCTTTCCCTTTTTGGAGGCCAAGGCCAGACCGGGGGAAACAAAAACCGACCGGTGTCTCAAGTCGGACCACACGGCGGTGGTTCCCTCGATCTCATTCCCTACGGAGCACAAGTCCCGTATGGGAAGCAAGGACGCCCTCAAATAACCTGGTCTTTTGCTAGCGCGGCAGTTTGGAGTCTTTGGACATTTGGGTGGCAGCTGTTTTTATTGGAAAACGTCCCTTTCGCGTGTCAGTTTGCATTGGAACCCTCGAATTGGTCTTTCCAGGTGATCGTCTCCAGCTGCACCGAGGTCGGGGCCGCGTGTTCGACTAAACTCACATCACTCGTCGAAGGCAAGGCGTTCGAAGGCGCATCCCACACTTCCCAGAAGAACATCCCACACTTCTGGCAGAAACAGACCACTACAGATCTGCTACTGATCTCTTTGATTCCTTTCTCTTTTCCTGTAAATGGAGAACACCTGAGGATCTGCATGACATGAGGATCAATGGGACGCTCCTCAGTCAGTGTGAAAAAGTCGCCTGTAGAATCAGAGCTTTCGAGATCGAGCGCGGAACACATCCTTAATCATCATGGAACTCTGCTTGATTACCCCACCCACCCCCCAGCCCTGAGATCGGTGGTTCTTTTCATCTAAATAGACTCTTGGACGATATTTCAACCCCCCCCGTAGTGAAAGAGGTTTGACATGGTTTGACCATTACAATCCATCTCTAAGAGGGTTGAAATCTAAGAGCCGTTCACATGATTCATTCTTGGTGCGAAAGAAACTGAAACTAAGTTGACAGCAGGCTAAGTAGCTAAGTTGACAGTTCCATTATGCCAGTTCCATTGGATTTGGGGGGGAACCGACAAGGTCTGTCGGTTCGATCCCTTCCACCACCGGATCTCGAGTCTTCCGCCTGCCGCGCGAGGCCCCAGTCAATGGGTGCCACCTGAGGTCGATCCAGTGAGGTCGATAAGTGCGAAGTGGTCTGATGATTTGCGGGTATCGTTCGTGAATTGGATTTCAGTATCAAAGATTTCTGCCAACCAATAGGTGTGTGGTGTTGATGTTTTTGTGATGTGTATCGTATGAAATTACAACATCGGATTCCAGGAGAAAAAGGACCATGTTGGGCTCACGACTCTCTCACTGTCTTTCACCCTCTCTGAGTTTGATGGGGATCAGGTTGAACAGAAGACGTTGTATTCTCCTTCATTTCTTTTCAAGTTATATACCCCATAAGGTCTATACCCTCATTCTGCCACAGTAGGACCATAGACCGGGTCAAGATGTTACGAAACACGTTTGTTGTACTTGAGCTGCCTGCCACAGTAGGAACCACACCCCGATCTTCGCGACTTGAACATGACATGTTAAAAAATATCAACTGCAACAATTTCAATGTTGGAATGGTCTTTAGTCGTCCCATCCAGTGATCACTGGATGGCAACCCCGACTTCCTCCATGGCTAGCACCCGACCAATGCAACTGCTGGTAGGTGCAACAAATGAAACTGCAGCAACTGTGGAAGGTCATCGCCTACACCCCACGGTTCACCCGACGTTTTCCCATGGGTTTGAAGAGTGTAGTCAACTCTCAAAATCGGACGTTTGCATCTCTGAACTGACGAACTTGGTCAAAAAAAGGTCACCAAAACCTACCAACCCCGAAATGATAGAACAGTAGAATCCCGACGAAAAATGCGTTGGAAACCGTTTCTATCTTTGGGGGGACCACTATTATTTACAATGTTGACCCCAAAAACTCTCCCAAACGATGGATTGATCAATGCCAAACAGGATGGAGTGTCTCCGTTTTTGGAGGGCTTACAGATTCTCCCAAATCCACCATACTTCGTCTGCATAATTGCTTTGTCTGCCACCTCCACAGCCCTCGAACTTCACGGCCTCCACCGCCGGCGCCGGCAGCCATGCGCCGCTGGCGCTGCCACTTGCCGCGCCAGGGGCGGCGCCCGTGGCGTCCGGAGCGGCGCTGGGCGAGGAGGCGACAGAGACGGCAGGGGTGGTGGCCTCAGCATGGAGCTTGCGCATGGCGCGCATGGTTGTGTTGGGAAGTTGGAAATGGGGTGAGATAGATCATATGAACCAACTGGACCGGTTTGGATCAAGGGATTGAGACTCGAAACACGTCCCCCAAGAGTTTGAACACGACACGTCACTCAAGCATGACTAGCTCCCGGACATAGTCATGGAAAAAGAAGCAACAAATGAGTGATTGGTCGATGTCCCTGTTCTAGACACGCCACGACACGATGTTCGTGCTGTTGTGATGTAGTAATGTTTGTGCAACTGGAAAACAAACATGTTCTCTCAAATCTGCACCATCTTCTCACACAAAACCCCTGCAGCTGAAAAAACAGGGACCACATCCTCAGCGTGAACAAATAGACTGATGGTGGCGCAGGCTGACACGGCTGACATGGCATCACGTCCGAAGTCCGGGCAAATGGGAGGTGTCGCGAAGAAAGCACGTCATCAAATGACCAAAACCCTTTGGTCTTGACCATGCAATCCTCCTTAGCTTACGCGTCGGATTTGTTAGGCATCAAGCCACGCAAGCCACGAGCGCTGCGCGACGTTTGAAGAATCTCTTCAAACAAGCCGGTGCACTTCGCCATGAAATGGGGACAAGTTGCATCTTTCAAACCAAAAGTTCTGTCTCGTTTTCCGTAGGGGGATCAAGAGAAAGAAGAAACCAAAAGGGGATATAACGTGATGAATCGTCCAAAACCGCAACGGATGAGTCGTCCGAACACGAAGTTCCCATCCCATCCTCTCCCCGACACAACTCGCCATCAGTGAATCCCAGCAGCTGGCGCCCGTGGCACCCGCAGCTCTGGGACCTCTCGTGGGGGGCGTTCCTTTTCCGGGGGAAAGGCCCAAAAGGAAACGGGGTGAGGAGTGCATCATTGGTTCGATGTGCTCTGGGAAGTAGGCCATCGCTGGTATAGGTTGGAGGCCATCGCTGGTAGGTTGGAGGTTGGAGGCTTCAACGAGTACCACGGGGTCCGCCGCCCTGGCAACAACTGTGGGCGACAACGCCGCAAGGCAAAATATGTCAGAACACTGAAGGAAAACGTCCATCAATGTGGCCTCCACACATGACAACATGTCAGAGTATGTGCCTTAAGCACCGGGATTCTACAGTTTCAACCTCGCCATGGCGTCTCCATGGCGTCTCTGGCCAGGTTCCTGGAGGAACAGCTGCAGTCTTTGGACCCGAACTGGAGCACCTCTATCAAAACTCGGCCGAAAACCTCGGCAGCTCGGCTCGTAGTTTACAAACCCCTTCGGGTTGGGGTAGTGGATGGGCCGCGCATGTCCTCCACCCTCCCCCAGAGGTTCGAGTTCAAGTACGCCACCTGGGCATCCACCGGAGAACTCTCCTGGGCCAAACAGACATGTAGCAGTGGCAGGAAAGAGCAGGAAAACATCCAGCTGGGATACAGACTGAAACAAACAAGTCGATACTCTGGACATCATCTGTACTAGTCATGAAATTCATGATGTCATGAGACAGAAACCATCAAAGAGTTTGAAGGGACGCAAGGCAGCAAATCATTGGATGAAGAAGTGTTGAGAACATGTCCTTTAATGCCGAAAGATGATCCAAACAAAAACTACCTGAGTCTCATATTGACGCGAATCTTGACTTCGCATGACCAAGCAAAACCTTTGGATCTCGAACCTTTAGTGACCATAGTGGAATTGGTGGGTCAGTAAGTATGCCTTGTTTTGCTGACAAGTTTCTGTGGGGAAGGGTTAGGTCGTGGGAAAGAACGATGGCCTGAACGACTGCCATGCCCCCCGACCCGAAGAAGACATGGTCGGTTTGACGGTTTGACATCCTTCTTCCTAGCAATCGGTTCCTTTTCATTCCAAGTGTAAGTCATGATGCCGATGGCCCATTTGCATCGCTACTAGTAGCAAGGTGCCTTGCAGTAGCTTCTAGCTATACGTATTAGTAGCGATGCTCTTGTTAGTAGCGATGCAAGTCATGACACCAATGGCCCGGAGTTGAATGGAAAACTGACAGACAGGTGCGACAAATGGGTTATGAGGCTGGATCCGAAGGTATTCAGCTAGTACCTTATTCTCTCTACGAGGCGCACGTCGATCCAACTTCCATCCGCATCGGTCCATCGGTTCGATCCACCCCACCTCCAGCTTCTCCTGCGGATCCAAGTCTGAGTCGGTCGATCCAAGAGGTCTAAGTATCGCTATGGCCTAGGAATAACTGCATTGTAGTTATGTAAAGGCTATAGAAGATTCACTGACTGGTCAAAAGGAGCTCGTACCCCTTCCCCGTACCTGTTCACCGCACCGAAAGGAAGATTCCTAAGCAAATGGAACCCAAGACTGAGTCACTGATATATCTTAAGTTCCCAACGATTCACGGCATAGAAGGAAGATTCACTGACAGAAGGACGCGTCCAGTCAAGGGATGTTTTGATCAGCTTTGCCATTGTTCGTCCTCGTATTCCGGCAGCAAGATTAATCTCTTGCTCTGGTGGGTGGTCTTAGGGTTTCTCTGGGAAGTCGCCTCTCGAAGAACCCAGCCATTCTGTTCTGCTTTCAATCGGATTCCCCAACTCGCCAAGCGGCCTCAGTCTGAGATATGTAGACTCTTGGATGACATGGAAACCTAAAACCTCTTCACTACTGGGGGAGAATACATATCATCCAAGAGTCTACATGAGCTGCAATTAGGCATGTGAAAAAACAAGACACCGATGCTAGGACGAGGGTGACCTGGACGACTCCTACTACAGTGCGCAGCACTTCGTTCGGCGATTTCTGGTTGTTCGTGACGTCAGGTCTTGAGGTCCCAGCAAAAAGACGTGGCGAGGGAAGCAAACACGTTCACATCGGAAATGCGGGCGGATCTTTTTGAGGTGCTTGCTTGGCTGAAAAGTCCTCCAGAGGCAGAGGCAGAGGCGTCTTACATGCTATATATTTCAATATTTCTCATCCCTTTATATGCTCACAAATTGAGTTCATTTTTCTTTGAAGAAGACGAAGAATGCGACTTTCTGAGTGAAACTAACATTTCTTGCTTGTTGCTTCCACCAGGGCGGATGCACCAAAAAAGGAAACACACAGGCCCGGTGCTTCAAAAGCTAACCACCACTCGCCCGGAATCAGATCCGTCTTCGGACTGGATCCCTCGTCCGGCTTTGGGGCTCGGTCGGTGTCTCTTTTCTACTAGCAGGCCGCCACGCCATGCAACCAGTCCAACTCCTTGACACACAAAATAGTAGCCAGCGACGACAAATCCGCCGAGTCTCTAGATTCTAAACCTTGACTTGCAAAGGGCGGTCCTCTTCTGTTAGAAATTCCCACGGTCGGGCCTTGGCAAGTTAGACTTTCGAGGTCGCACCCAATAATAACTGTGAATTGCACATGTTTTGCGCCAGTATACTGACAGTCGAACAGATGGGGGTTCCTGGAAGCCGAGCCACAGCAAACCAGTTTCAAGATTGAGAAGAAAAGGCGCCTGCCTTGGCCGTTCCCATGTCGGACTCATCTTCGACCTGAACGCTGGACATAATGAAGGCTTGAATCGGCTCAACTTTCAGCAGGTTCCTGACAGAAGGCCCGGGCAAACAAACTTTTGCCACGCCGAAAAAGAAATCCTGCCTCAGTGGCTTCGTCTGCATCCTGCGGGCGCATGTGAACTTGCTCCTCAGCAGCAAGGTCGTCGACCTGACAATTGCCCAAGGTCAGACTAATTGGAAATTAATTCAATTTCTCAGTAAATGGCTGCGCCAGTAGTGGGTGCAGCTATGATTGTTTCCTGACAGCCAGGCCAGAGCAAACAAACTCTGGCCACACGGAAAAAAGAAAACCTGCCTCAGTGGCTTCTTCTGCAACCTGTCGCAAAAAAGGAAGGTCCGCGGCAGAATGTGAATTTGGTCCTCAGCAGGAAGGTCATCGACCCGACAATTGCAAGTAAAGTTGGTTTGCCTAAGGCCAGACTAACTGGCCGCTCAACTTCTCAGAAGAGGGCTGCGGCAGCGGTCAGCCAAGCGGTACCACCGCGGATGCGCAAACCTAAACAAAAAGGGATTTGACTGTAACCACCTGCCCCATTCTGTGTTCGTGGTGGGCTTGGGTATGCTCGTGCGAGTCGCTTGCTCCACCGGTCTGGGGTACTGGTCAACCGTTTTACTGTCTTCCAAGAACCGCTTACTGGTGGCTCAGTCAAATCCCAAAAGGAATAAGAACACGTTTAAACATGTTTCCTCTTGCAATTCTTTCCCAACGTTGCGCTCGATGTGTGTAGTTTGTTTTCTTCGGGGCGTGGTGGGTCGACATGGATCTGGCGAGTGCACTCCTTTTTGTCGCCTTCTTGTACAAAAGAGGAGTGCGTTAGAAACCACCCCTGGTCGGCACATATTATTCCAGTGTAAAGGGGTGCGTCACGGATAACTCTGAGCCTGCGAGGTGTTTAGAACAATTATTCCAAATCGGCACATTTTTTAAGGTTGCTTGCCTTCTGCCACCCCTTGCCACACCTTACTACCCACCTGCCAGAGCCACTCTTCCAGGGTTCCTCCACTTCCCATCCCTGTTACAAGTCCCTGCTAATGAATTAGTTTGGCCCTCCCGCCCAATCCCTCTATATAATGGGTGTCCTGACCCCCTCCTCACCTTTTTGAAGGCTGCTTGCCTTCTGCTACCCCTTGCCACACCTTGCTACCCACCTGCCAGAGCCACTTCCTCCACTTCCCATCCCTGTTACAGGTCCCTCCTAATGAATTATTTTGGCCCTCCCACCCAATCCCTCTATATAATGGGTGTCCTGACCTCCTGCTCATATACTGTTTAACGTTTCTTGCCTTCTGCCACCCCTTGCCACACCTTGCTACCCGCCTGCCTCCCTGTTACAGGTCCCTCCTCATCTAGGGGCTCCTGGCATCGCTTCCAGGAGCAAGGACGCTAGTAGGGGCTCCTGGCCTTGCTACATGAACAGTTTGGTCAGTTTGGTTTTTCACGAAAGCTAGCGCCAGCTAGCTGGAGTTTCTTTCAACTTGCCACGCTTCTTTTGAGTAAGTCCAAGGTCAACTTCACCCTAAGTCACTAACCAACCTCAAATATGAGAGTACGTGAGTCTTCATATTATGGAGGGTGTAGGGCGCGACCTTTTGGCGCCAGAATTGAAATTGATTCCCCAAACAGTTTACTGTTGGGGTTCTATCTTAGAAAGAAAAGGGCTGGCCACACTCACTGGCCGCGCCCCTGAAATCTGTGGCTGGGCTCTGTGGCCTTGTCCTCCTCCTGTCAACTCTGTGGCTGGGCTCTGTGGCTGGGCCTTGTTCTCCTCTTGGCCGCGCCCCTGCACTCTGTCATCTCTGCGGCTGGGCTCTGCGGCTGGGCTCCGTGGCTGGGCCTTGTCCTCCTCTTGTCCTCCTCCTCCTCTTGGCCGCGCCCCTGAAGTCTGTCAACTCTGTGGCTGGCTGTGGCTGGGCCTTGTCCTCCTCTTGTCCTCCTCTTGGCCGCGCCCCTGCTCTCTGTCAACTCTGTGGCTGGGCCTTGTCCTCTGAAGTCTGTCAACTCTGTGGCTCTGTGGCTGAGCCTTGTCCTCCTCTTGTCCTCCTCATTTGGCCGCGCCCCTGAACTCTTCCTCCTCTTGTCTCCTCGTGGCTGGGCTCTGTGGCTGGGCTCTTCAACTGGCCTCCTCTTGGCCGCGGCCCTGAACTCTGTCAACTCTGTGGCTGGGCTGTGTGGCTGGGCTCTGTGGCTGTGGGCCTTGTCCTCCTCTTGCGCCCCTGAACTCTGTCAACTCTGTGGCTGGGCTGTGTGGCTGGGTGTGTCCAGGCCTCTCCTCCTCTTGCCCTCCTCGGCTGGGCTCTGTCCAGGCCTTGTCCTCCTCTCGTTCTTCTCGGCCGCGCCCCTGAACTCTGTCAACTCTGTGGCTGGGCTGTGTGGCTGGGCTCTGTGTCCAGGCCTTGTCGTCCTCTTGTCCTCGTTGTCCTCCTCTTGTCCTCCTCATGGCCGCGCCCCTGAACTCTGTCAACTCTGTGTCCTCCTCTTGCCCTCCTCTTGGCCGCGCCCCTGAACTCTGTCAACTCTGTGGGTGGGCTCTGTGGCTGGGCTCTGTGGCGCACGCTCTGACATACGCTCCAGAAAGGCGCGCTCAGAGCGCGTTTTGCAGAGAGAAAGACAGAGAAAGAGAAGCTTAAAGAGAAAGAGAGAGAGAGAGAGAGAGAGACAGCAGGGCGAGCGCGCGCGCTCGTGTGCTATGGACGGCGCGCTCACGCTCCAGAAAGGCGCGCTTACAGCGTTCTGCAGAGAGAAAGATAGAGAAAGAGAAACTTAAAGAGAGAGAGAGAGAGACAGAAAGAAAGAAAGAAAGAAAGAAAGGAAAGGAAAGGAAAGGAAGAAAGAAAGACAGAAAGAAAGAAAAGAAAAGACAAGAAAAGAAAAGACCAGAAAAGAAAAGAAAAGCAAGCAAGGAAGGAAGGAAGGAAGGAAAGAAAGAACGAAAGAAAGAAAGAAAGAGAGCAGGGCGAGCGCGCGCTCGTGCGCTATGGACGGCTTACTGGGCTCTTGCCCTCCTCTTGTCCTCTGTGCTGGGCTCTGTGGCTGGGCCTTGTCCTCTTCTTGTCCTTGTCTTGGCCGCGCCCCTGAACTCTGTGGCTGGGCTCTGTGGCCCGGCTCTGTGTCCGGGTCTTGTCCTCCTCTTGTCCTTGTCTTGGCCACGACCCTGAACTCTGTGGCTGGTCTCTGTGGCCCGGCTTACTGGAGAGGAGTGTGGCCGAACAAATAGGGATGTCAATGCCGACAAAAATTCATTGATGAAGCAGTTTGCCCTTGGGGTGAAAGTAGGGCGAACCAAGAAATCGATTTTTGACTAATATTGGTCTAAACAAATCGGTTTGAAACTGTTTGGGGTCTATGCTTGTATAATTTTTGCACCAAAAGGTTGCGCTCCGCATCGCGCTGCGTTCGTGGTGGGCTTGGGTATGCTTGTGCGAGTCGCTTGCTCCCCTCCCCACCACCGGTCTGGGGCACTGGTCAACAGCTTTACTGTCTTCCAGGAACCGCTTACTGGTGGTTCAGTCAACCCCAAAAGGAATAAGAATACGTTTAAACATGTTCCCTCTTGCAAATTTTTCTTGTTGTGCTCGATGAGCAAGGGCGTCCACGTATCAAGCCCACTCCTCACAAAGCCCTGGCCTGCTCCTGAGACTCACCGGTGTCGTTGGGCAAGGGGAAGTTGAACATTTCCTTTGGTGGGCGCCGAAAGGGTGTGAGCATTATTTGCGCGCCGAGAAATGAAAGTAAGCTACACCCCCAGATCGCCGGGAGCGAGGTCGCCAGGCCAAGTCATGGTGTCCCCAACGTAGTCCCCGCCAGGGAGCACCTAAGGCTCTATGCGCGGGCAAAACATGTAAAAAAGTGTGTAGGTGCCCGGCAACAGGTTCACAGTCACTGCCTCACCTCACCATTAGTAAAACAATGAAGCAACAATTCACCTGCACTGCGCACAGCTCAAGCTGAGGTTGAAACAAAGTGGTCCCGGCCCTTCCCAAATCAGGACTGACCAACACTGGCGGCGGCAGACCTAAGATAATTCTGGACAAGTGAAAAACTTCAGTGTCTAAGGTTGAGCCAGTTTCACCCACATGGTCTTTATGTCGTACGTTATGCTGTGAGAGTGTGAATAAGCAAAATCTATGTATCCAGCGAACATGCTTCAAGAAAAGTATATTATGCCGTAGGTCACAGACAAAACATATGCCGTAGGTCAACACAAAGACCAAGGAGACTTGCCCTTGTGAAGGAACTCTCAGCACCTCTATAGCGGCTTTATGGTGTTCTCATGTTTTCCCTGCTGTACCGCTCCCCTCTGGTTCCCCCTGACTCCTCAAGCTGCTCCACCTGACCAATGAAAGTGCCAAGTCTTTCGCGAGGAACTGTACAACTTCAACTACAAAGCAGATCAGATCTTCAAACTGGATGAGACTATCTGATTACCTGAGTCATATCTGCCTGTCTCCAACTTCAACTACCCTCTACAATGAAGTGGATGATGGGTAACAAAACTTGAGGTTTTTTGTTGTTTGCCTCACAAGGCTCGAGCAAAACCAAAGCAACAGTTAAAGGATGTGCTTCTTTCGCTGCCACATGGATCAGGCAACTTCGTTTCATGAGCAGTGTGCAACTTTGGTGTGCCACTGAACCGATGAAAAATACCTTGAAATACCCTGAAACGAGAGTAGAAAGACACAAGCCAAACGATCCAAACGTTCATCCTTTGACCACAAATGGAATGATAATGATAGATAGATGCAAACAATACTGGCAGCCATGGCCTGGAAAGTGGACTGTCACTTGATACCAATGGGCTGTCCACGTGGTCGACGGGGTTGACCACCGCGACACCTGCCCCCACTCGATCTGGTGCTCCCCGGTGACTCCGCGAGCGAAAGCGCATGAGAGTCGGGCGGAGTTCCGACCAGCGTTGCACCATGAAAAGGTTTCACCATGTTTCACCCATTGAACACAAAAGGTTTCTCCAAGAAGTCATGGAGAAACTGGAGAACTCACAGTGACTTGAAGAACAAAGAAGATCCTGATTGCGCCAGCACGCTTTGATCCGTCAACGGTGACTCCGTCAACGGTCCAGACCCCGCATCGACCTCGGGCAGGCTGATCTTTTCCAGCCTCTCCTGCGGACGTCTTGAGAGGTGGTTTCTGGCGAAGCATGGCGGCTGCAGATTTTTTTGTCTGCAGTAATTTGGGGCACAAGCCAATGAGACCTATTTTAGGTCGAAACTAGTCGTAGAGCAGCCCAAACTTAACGGCTTGAGAAGTGCCAAAAGAGCGGTGTGTTGTTCACCATCAGGAAGATCTTTGAGAGATGTAAACAATAAGAACAAACCTCTTTCAGACAATGCAAAGACCACAAGTTGGTTTCTGCTTTCGAAGCCAAACGGTCTACCCAATGGCCGAGACTGTGAAACAGCAAAAAAGAATGGACCTGAAAAGCTGATGATTCGCTGATGATTCGCTGATGTGTCCACATGTTTCCACATGAATTGTTCTTCTCTCTTCACCACCGACGTCACACCGACGGAGTGAATCCAACGGTTCGGTTCGGGCGGAGGAAGGCCGGGAGGAAGGCCGGGAGGGAGGCCGGTTCACGATCCGATTCGGCCCGGGAAGGCTGGTGTTTTCAGGATTCTTCGAGTGAAAGAATGGTCCGATGGTGGAACGAAAGCGGGTGAACAATCCGATCGTCGATGGGTCACATAGAGACTTCTCCACCGCGTCGTGCTAGGATCGTCCATGATCCCTTTTTTGGGGGGAGTGATCGATGTGAATCTCCAAAGGAGCGAAAGAGAGAAGCAAGATGAAGCCAGCATCTGGGGCCCGTCACGATGAGTTCGAACATCTCAAGAGAATTCATGAAAAACGGACCTTGAAAACAACAATGGCACAGCAAACAAGAATAACTTTACAACAAAATCATAAGGAAACTCCATTTACCATCAAAAAGAAACCTCTTCGCCGTGTCTTTGGCGTCTTTGCCTCTGCAAACTTCCCGTGTTTCCACCTTTGTAGTGACGCACCGAATGCGTGACCCGTGCTCAGACGACGCACCGGCTCCTCGGCGATCCCCGGCGCGATCCTCGGCGCGACGCTTCATCCCCGCGGCGAAGGCGGTCCGACGCGGTCGAAGACTAGGAACAAGGGCCTTACTACTAGTAACAAGAAGCGAACGTAGAAACAAGAATTCATGTTGGTCCTGTAATGTCATGATTGGGTCTGACGGGTCCTGCGAGTGGTTTCGGTGCGATGTGCGAGGTCTTTCAGGTCAGCAGGTGAGCTGTTTGATCGGTTTGGTCCGACAATGTTGGACTGGTAGGGTTAGGAAGAGTACATTAGGAGACTTGGGCTAGCCTCCTCTATGAATCAACCAGCTCAGGCTGTAAAGGGCAATCTATGCTGCTGAATCCTCTAACAACTTCTTGCCCCGTAAGAAATCAACAATGATCTTGAACAACATGCTTTGTGCATGTCTTGAAGAAAACACTACAACACAACTGGCACTACTGCATTGTCTGAAGAAATGGTGAAACATGCACCACTATTTTGCCGTCTTTGGGATTTCAGTTCAGGTGATTCATGCTGGATTCTTCATCAACAACAGGTGTAAACTCTTGCTCAAAGGCACTATGATGGTACCTGTCCTAAAAATGCACTCTTTCCTATCAACGCGATGTTGGATTGCGAGGTGTTTCGATGTTTTCCACCAGCTCCCAGCAAACTAACCTTCAAATCAGTTGGTGGACAATCCCTACTGCCACAAAATGCTGTTGTGCAGCCAAAGCTGCAGAGGTTCTAGCACTTCCTCAGGCAAAGTCACTTGCACCTGACCCGACAGTTCCAGAACACCACAGCAACCGACGTGCTTCCTCCGTGCAGTCCGACAGTCCAACCAGTCCTACCTGAGGTTGGGTCGGAGGGAACCCAACTGGGCATCGTGTGCTTTATCGGATGTGTTCTTCGGTTCATTCGGATGCCTCATGGCTAGTTTAGCATGGCTAGCGGCGAGCATGGCTATTTCCCTAGGCTGACCGGCGGCAAATGGACAAAACATCAACAAGCAAAACCGGATCTCATCTAGGTTCCAGCTGGTAGCTACACGAAAATGCCCATCTCCCACTGTTCAAACTCTTGTTCAAAGACTGCCATCTCCGCCCAAAGGACTGTGCTTCGAAGTCGATCTGTTAAAGAAAGGGACCTGGCTTCGGGCCCAACAACCCTCAACTAAAGACCTGTTGGGGGGTGCTGTGAGGGGGGCTGGTCTAAAATTGTGATAATAACGGTCACAGCTTTGCTTGGCTGTGATCCATCGACCGCAGAGTCCCTTCGAAGATGACCCGATGCTGCGATGCGACCCAGAGCGAACTGGTGGGTCCTCTTGGCATCGATTGAAACAAGCGGTGCACATGGGCCGATACCTTCCAATAGACTGTGAATATGCAATCAATCTCCATTCCCTGTTGTAAAAAAAACTTATATACAGATAATATATATATGTATGCAATTTCCCTTCCGGCACATGGTTTCCCCTATTCATCCCGTTTGCCAACACCGTGGCCAGATTTGTTCTGTGGCTCATCTGTCAATCGCCGTCAAAACCAGATGTCAGGCCCCAGAGCCTTCCTGCCACCTGCGGAGTTGACAGTAGGCCAGGCTCGAAAACACCTACCGTCCTCCTACCGTTTCATCAAGAAGTTCGCTGAAAGAGTTTCTGCCAAGAATTTCATGGGAAAAAAAATCAAGTTCTTTTCGCCACTGGCGGAAGAGGCCCAACGACGGCGACTTCCCCTGTCGCTCCATGTTGGCTCCGCTTCCCCTGTGACCGCCTCACCTTGACATCTGGATATCGGGTTCCGAGGCGTCTCCGCTTCGTTCGAAGGGGTGCCTGGTGCAGTGTGAGGTGATGGAAATGAATTGGAAGGGTTGATGAGGATAGAGGAAAATGAGGAAGATGAGGAAGTTGGAGTGTCTTCAGGTCGTGGGTTCTGACAAATCTCCCGAAGATCGTCTCAAAATCAATTCTTCTTTCTCCTTCAGTCTCCTTCTGAGGGTTCTGAAGTTTGAGTTTGAAGGATTCAATTCTCCTTCAACTTTAAAAGAACGTTTTGAGGCTCGATCTCAATTTCTGCCTTTGGACGACCTCGTACCTGGCTGTGGACGCGACGGCTGTGACGAAGGAATCTACAAAAAGTTCATCAAACCCCAACATCTTCCAACAAGTTCCAACAGCCAACCCCGCAGGACTGTTGGAACTCCAGCAACGCAAGCAGGATGTTGCTGTGCCACATGTTACTTGACCACATATGACCGGTCCAGTCATGCCTGAGGATGTACGACGGGAGCCCCGGGGAATAGAAGTGAACATAAATCTGTTTTGAATAATGAATGTTTCTCACGTGAGAACCATAAGTGAAAATAGAATCGGTTCTTCCACGCGAACACCGACACCAGGCGACACCTTGTGGCATCGACAGCCGCGGAGGATCGTGCCCGGCTCCCCCAGCGTCGGATCGTTCAGCCATGTCGCGCGACAAAGCGAAACGGAAGGAGTGGACCGTGTCAGGCTTCCCCAGTGAAACAGCGGTGAACCAGTGAAAACCTGTGAAGACTACCGTGCTGAGTCTCGTCTAGTAACAATGTTCGCTACGATCGGGGCTGGCATCGCTACGAACGGAGCGATCGGACGCTATACTATGTTTTTGTTTCCCAATCATGCTGAAGTGAACATGCTGAACATGGACCGGGACGGACCCACATTCTCGCTCAGAAACACCAGCTTTCCAGCTTGGTCGATAGAATGAAGGCCGCCAAAAGACAGGTTCTGGACATCTATGCTGCAAACCTTGTTGAGAAAAAAGCTTCGTGGGAGAAGTCTTGGAAATACTGCTTTGGCCAATCGAACCTCTGGGTATGTACAAAAAAAGGGACGCCTTAGCTCGATTCTATCAGGCATCGCTACGAACGGAGCGATCGGACGCTACGAACGGGGCTCCTGGCCTTACTACGAACGGAGCAAGAAGCTACGAACGTAACAAAGGGCATCGCTACTAGTATCAGTTGCTTCAATTCAAAACGGGATTCCTCGGACCCAGCCTTCTCCAGAGCACCTCCCCTTCTCCACCATTCCTATCCCAAAGGTCTTCGACCAAGGAAACGGAGTGTGAAAGACCCGGTTTCTTCTTGTTGTTTTCGACTTCTTGGTTTTGGAGCAACACGGCGAAAGTTCCGCCCGCTGAGAGATCCGAGATTTCGACTTGCTCGCCTTCTCTTCGATGAGGCGTTTTTTCGGCTGCAGGTGGGAGAACCTTGGTGCAACAGGCCTGGTTTTGTGGTCCAAGAGGAAGGTTCTGGTGATCAAATCTCGTCTCAACAGGACCGCTAATCTCGTCTTTCCATGGACTCGGGTTCCTCCCAAGTTCCAAAGTGCTTTGCAACAGCAAAGAGACATGCAGTCCAAAGGATGCAACGCGAATTCCCGATTGCGACGTCTGTGCAGAACACTCCAAAAAACAAAAACCTGCTGCATAAAGGTTGCGTAATTGGGTCTTTTGTTGGATATGGTGGTGAGATTATTGCTAAACCTGCTCAAGCTGCTTGGATCCCTCTCATCCTGATTTCACGGTCGAGCTTCGATTGGTCGAACGAGATGCGGCGCTGCGGCGCGATCCGAGCACTCCACAGCGCATCGAGCAGGCGTTTTTCCCGAACGGAGCGCGCGCGATCCGACCACGCGCGATGGGCGTGATCCGAGGTTCTGCTTGTTCGGCTTTGGAGTTCTGCATGGCCTGATAATACTCTTGAAGGTTTGCGGTTGAAGTTCTGAATTAAGTGGCTGCAAGGCCCGCCGGCATGAGGCACTAGGCACTGTTCCACTCCACCAGGACATTGCCAATGCTGTTGGGTAAAGTGTGGAGGTTTGAGACAGGGCTGGTGAATGCCGGTGATTTACTCCAAGTGCTTCAGTTGTATCCAACACATCTTCAAGTCCTCTGAGGCCTTTCTGGCCAGTCTCACATGACCAGCTCTGCTTGCTAGCTGCCTCCGCATCTTTCTCAACCAGTTCATCTCAGAAGGCCTTTGAACTTTTGAAGCTTGAAAACGCACGAAGACAAAACGGAACGCTTCCAAGTGTTGAAGCTCTTGGAATCTTTAACAGGTCTCCAAAGTGCTAGGCCCTCTGAAACCACAACTACCTTGATATGTAATGCAAACCCAGCAGCTCTGGGTCCTGTAGGAGATACCCCAGCACCGCATCCAAAGGGCCTGGAGAGAAGCCCCGTCTTCAAAACCACTCCAGTGAGCTGGAGCGATTCTCTTCGCCCTTCGTTCGGATTGGGGATCAAACACGTGATCCTTGTTCAGTTCTTCCAAGTTCAAGTCTTCACAACTCCAAGTTCAGGTGGGTTTAGGCTGTGATGGGTTTGGACAATTCGAGGAATGATTCAGTCCTCGTCTTCCCTATCCGGAGCCAAGTCAACGACTAGGCGACGCGACTAAACGGTCGCACATGTGTGCATGATGCGCATGATGATCAAAGGGAACTGGGGGTGGTTCACCAAATGGTTTTCATATACAATATTAATATATCTATATTTATATATATTATATTATATATATGTACGCTACATAGGATTCCAAGCGCCATGAATTCTTACTGAACAACCATGGTCTTACTAGGAGTTTTACACTGATGCAACACCAAATGGTCTTGGAAGGCTAGGGTCCCCTGGTATCCAAATCCAGTCCCGAGCTTCGTGTCCGAACGCGAGACTCACCAAGAAGCGGACACCTCGGGCCGTGTCAGTCCGGGCAGCGGGGCACGCGCCTGGCTGCCGGGGGGTCAAGCTGCCCGGCAAAATCCGGGTCGCTCCGATCCATGGCGACATGAAACTGGAGACGCGACCGGAGAACGAACACGACCGGTGAGGCATCGGCGGATACTGCACCGTGACTGATGGAGAATGTCACGAGTTTGGGTGCACTTCTCCCGCCACATTGAGTTGCCCCACGTCCGGGGGTATGTCATGATTCTGCAGCTTCCGCCCTTGGCAGTAGCCAATCGGGCATGCGAATCATCGGGTAGTTTCGCTTTCATCGGGCAGAGAGCACCCGGAATGTCTTCTGCTTGGGCATTTTGGATGTAGTTTCCCAGTCAGAACATGATGGGACGGTGCAAGGAACAAGTCAGCTAGCTACCTTCCATATTATATATTGACCTTTCCAATACCACTGCTCTTTATAGGTCTGAATTGCCGTGAAGAATCTTTGGCACCTATCTGTGCGAGCTGCCAAACTGCTCTTCTCTCGAGCCTTCACATCGGGCAAAGGAAGATGAAAACAGCACGGCCGTCGTCCGGTCTCGTTGGTCATCCCCACCTGTCCATCTCGTCCATCACGAGTTGGATCCAAAAGCTCTGCACCTCGAGTTGGATGGTTTTGGTCCACCTGAACCCTGCTCCGTCCACCATTTGCCGCGAACCAAGTAGGTCAAGTGGTCAGTCTCCTGGGGCCAGTTTTCGTGCAATCCTCCTCCGGCAGCTCGTGTCACCCTCTGAGTTTGGTCGAAGTAGCCCAAAAAGAGATTTAAAACAAAAGAACGCATCCTGAGCCACTCAAGACCTGGGACCTTTGGAAAAACCGACAGAAGTGGATTGAGACACTCGCGCCAGCAGAGCCGCTGGACCAGAGCCGCTCAGCAAAGTCTGACAAGTTCGGATGTTGAACAACTGTATTCAAAGGATAGTTATTAGATGGAAAACACACATAGTCCGGGGGGCTCTAAAAACCTAAGCCACCCTGTGGATGGTGGCCTGAAAGAAAAAACAGGTGCGTTTTTGCCAAACAAAGAACTCGGATGAACATTGAACTCATCCGAAGAGGACGACTCGGTTGGGGTGGTTTTCACCAAATCTCCGTGGTCCAGTGCACATCGAAACCGAAGAAGCGACACGTCGTCGAACCCTGTGGAAAAAGGACGAAAACGACGAACCCCGAGAGCCTCTGGTAGCCTCTGGTAGTGGATGGGTTGACTAAGTAGGTGGAGTACTAACTGTTTCAAGTCACGGAAGTTCCGAGGAAGGGAAAATAGAAGACCCTTGCACCCATGGACATCCCAAGTACGACCTCCTCCATTCTCCGTGGGCTTCACCACCGGTGGTTCTACCGGTGTCGCATCATTTCTTCACATGGTGCACGTGTCGGACATGCAGATGTCTGACCCAAACAAAAAGGGTCTCGTGCAGTGTTTCAGGAATCTGAAGCCGGAATGGCCGGAACTGTGAATAGATATACCAAATGTGAGCTATATATGTCTGAAAAAAAGGCTATAGTGCCTCTCGCGACCAAGTTGAATGTTCTGCTCATGGGGCCCGTAAACAGGCGATAGACCAAGTGAGGAGCAGCTTAGAAGATCGGCCGTCCTTTTTTCTTCGGTCGCCATGGCATCTGCGCGGTGCATCTGTCGCGTCGCAATCGTCTCCTCCCGACCCCATTTCAGCCGAGAAGATCGGATCTTGATGGAGCAGTTCTCCTGTAACACCTTCAGTTAATACACTTTGGGTATGATAGCAATGGCCTCCAACCTAATAGCATGGCTTAAGTTGATACTCTTTGGGTATAATTCCATTCCGCGGGCCCGTTCTGGATGATGATGGGGCCCAAGTTTCGCAGGCCTTTCCATCTCTAAAATAGTGATGATGATGATGATGATGGTGTTCTTGTTTACCGACTGTTATACAATGGCACAGCCCTGGATACCCTTAATATGTATGGTCTTTGGAAAAATAAAAAAAAATCAGAAACTGTGACTTACCATTAAATCAAGAATACTGGTTCTCAACATCACAAACGGAGACGGGTTGATGAACTTTAGCAATGAGAGTGATCATCTTTACCGACTCTTGCAAGGAGTACGATGGACTTCAGCCTTACAAGCATCCGTCTTTGGCCAATGTCTTGTTCCAAGTTGACCCAGATCTGTCTTTTGGGAAAGGAGGACATCGGAATCCTCTCCAGGACATCAGATGTATTGAGGTTGCAGGACGACTTCTCCACATCGCACACGTCTTGTGTGGACAGGCAAGGCTGTGGAAGATAGCATGGTCTTCCTATGTCTTGGTTTACACTCTGACGAACACATCACATAGAAGTGGATAGCATGGTCCCTTGGAAGACTCCTTTGCTTTACGAACAGGGGTGAACTCCACTTCCATGTTCATGAGTCGGAGTGTACTTGCTTCACTTGGAACGGTCGAACGCACAAAACGAAGGGGTCCTTCCCCACACACACACACACACACACACACATCGCTCCCGCCCAAAAGAATCCCATTGGGGCAAAGTATGGCAAACTGAGAATTGACAGGGTCGCAGCCCAACGGAAACGGGTTCCAATACACATTCACATGGAAGTGGAAACCACCCTGTTCTTGAAGGAAAATAGATGAACATCGTCATGCGTTCGGGTCCATCCACTTCCACTTCGATGTGTTCGGCTACCTGCGCTTTGGCTTGTTGGTACCAATAGGTCTCAACGGCCTGTAGAAGAAGTTCGACCCCCCCGAAGAGCGACTGTACTTGGTTCGACCCCGGGTGCTGTCTCCTCCGGACCCGAAGACGTAAAACACTTGGCATCAGAAATCAGGGGCACACCATGAGGCCACGCTTCGAAGCGTGGCTGAGCATGTGGTTGAACACCCTCGGACCCCCTGGGACCGATGGGACAGTGCCAAAGTGGATCGACATTGGACGTCGTTAGACGATCCAAGTCTAGATCGCCTGGGGGGAAATGCATGTTTCAGCACTGATCTTTCAAGAGGACTCTCTTTGGACATGTTCGATTGTTCTCAGTTACAGTTTGGGTCTCCCACAAGCCTCCTCTGACTGTACATCTTGCGCACCCAGAAATTTCGGTGGCACGCTAGTGTCCAAGCAGGAAGTGATGAGTGGGTTCAAGAGGTCTCTTTTGGACATTTCTCGGATGGCCACCGGTCCAAGTGACACGGAGTTTCATGGAGTTTTACGAACTGATATTGACCTGACTGGTCTTCAGTGATCCAAGAGCTGAATCTCGGACCCATGAATTTTCATCACTAAACACGGTCGGATCCTCCAAAAGCCACGACCGCTTACTGATCATGAGGGGAGAGGACAGCTTACTTCACCTCATCACCTAGGGGAGATAATGGGCCTCTTCCACAATCCTGTTCTTCCTCTTAAAAACATGTTCACCCTGATGAAAACCGAATTTTCACCATTGCCATGGCAAAAACAAATAATAACTATACTCACCTGCCGCTCTTGAATCAGTGATCTCCCAAAAACATCATCTTCACTCTTTCGAGAACACGGAAGGGCAGCGTCTCAGGCGTCTCGACCGGCATCACAGCGCGCAGCGTCTCAGCTCGGCCGCCGGCAGCGGTGAGGACACGGCCTGCGCGAGGGACGCATCGCGGACGCGGCGGACGCGACGGACGACAGTGGACTGTCGTCCTGTCATGCGGATGTCAGGTGTTTTTCGGGGTTTAGGGTGGATTGAATGTGCCTTGGATTATCTGATGTTCGATTGAATAAAGAAAATATGCGATCCATCATGCTGGATCGTGTGAGAATATGGAGCGAGAAATGAAGAAGAAGCGTTGTTTTCACGGCCAGTCGACTGGTGCGAACACGAAACAAAGCTGGTCTGATTGAATCCTTACAGTTCTTGCCGATGAACTGGCAGACGAGTTCATCCTTATTTTGGAATTCATGTAATCTCTATGCAGTAGCATGTGAAGAAACAAACACCCGCCACAGTGGGTGTTTGGATCCATCGCTTTCAGAAATCCGCCTCACCAAACTCCCAAGAACAACCATCCAATACCATGAAACAGTCTGGCAAAATGTAAGCAGTACCAAACAAAGAAACATCCACACACATTGACCAACAACAAAAGTCCAAGACCTTGGCTGAAGTTCTGAAGGCACTCTTTCCCCAAAAACTGGAGTTTCACTCCATGGCCGTTGAAAACAGAAAAAAAGCCCAAAACCGCACCAAATTATACCCATAGTTCACCTAAAACATCAAAACAAAGTAAAAACAAACATCAAAACGAAACCGAAGTATACCCATGTGATCCCATGTGCCTTTTCTCTTCGAAAGAAACGTGCGACCAAAAAGATCGACCACCTCGAGGAATGCCGACGCCCAACGCCCGCACCTGGAGGCCCCGCGAGGCATCCAGGAGCAAAATCCAGGCCTGACCAGTGCGGACGCGAACGGAGCGATCGGACGCGCACGAGCGAAGACGCACGCGAAGGGAGCGAGCGAAGACGCATCGCGGACACTGAAGGGGGCGCTGAAACTGGCATTATTCGTAACAAGAGGATGCTACATGACGCTACTAGGCCTAAACACTGAACTGCGAGGAAATCCCCTTCAGTGCTCGGAGGTTGTTTTTTTGTCGCGGGCGGTGTTGGCGGCAAGCGCGGTTTCGGTTGGGTTGCTTTGGTAAACACGGATATTAGGCCCTGAACACATGTTGCATGTGTTTTTGTTACACCTAGAATCAGAAGCACTCATGGACTGACATAGGCCCTGAAGGGATTTGTTGGTTTTGCTTTCTTTGGTTGTTTACATGCTTTTACACCTCCATGGTGGAAGTGGATGGCATGGCCACTGGGAAGACCATGTTCAATCCAAACACAAAATGAGTGGTGTTCACTCCACTTCGACGATTGTTCAGGGAGGGTAGTATGTTGTTGCCGTTGCCGTTGCCGTTGCCGCTGCTGCTGCTGCTGCTGCTGTTGTTGTGGTCGTCGTCGTAGTTTTTCCCGAGTGCTAGTTGCTTCCTTTCAAGTTGAAGCACAAAAGGTTTGAAGAGTTTTCTGAAAGGTTGGGGCTGGCTTTCAAATTTGCAAACTGCAAAATGAAAAGAGAAACA